AGAATTTCACGTAAAATTCATCTATAATCATTTGATTCCTTTCCTACCTTTAGCTTGCTTTCACAGAGAAGTTTTTACGCCTCGTATATAAATGGCAAAGACAATAACCATACCAAATTAATAATTTAATGCTATTATAGCTAACATATCCAGTTGTATTAGGTTTTAAAAGATTTAAATTTTATAATTAAAAAACAATTCATTAAATCATGTTTTTGATCAATTTTTGTCACTTATTTGTATTAGACATATTAGACATATTAACTCAATAAAATCGTTTTGAAATTTTCGAAATTTGACAGCGTATATATTCATGGCAAAATGTGCATTATACAGGAAACTTTATTAGACTAAATCGTAATTAATGGTAAAAGAACATGATTAACGATGTGTTCTATGTGTCTAACTTTTTCCTAAAACGGAACCTTATATTAGATCTAATAAAGAATATATTAACGATTAAATCTTAAATCGAATATTTGCTCATGAAAGTATTAAATACAGAGTGTTTATAGTTTGAATTTAAACTTTTTGATTGAGTTAAGCAAAGAGAGAATTGCAAATTGTGTGACAAACCTCATAATATAAATTCAAAAAAGATAAGTGTAATAAATCAAATCAGCTAAAGAGATATGTATTTCAATTACGGGAAATTCTTTAAACGATTGTCACGACTAGAATCCAAGGAGTTACGAAAGTGTTGAGAATACTAGAAATATATACGGGACGATTAGTGAAAATGACTAATCCATTATATTATCATTTTTCCATATTACCCAATTTTTTCATAATGCCGTAAAATCCCTTAAATTACAATGCTGGTCATAGAATAATAACAAATCCTGGTTCTATTTCAAATTTTATAATCTTTGCAATTTTCTTCTTCAAAAATAATACTGATCTTTGTTCTATGATCCAATATATTGTCATTCAGTTATCCAATTCATCTGTAAATGTTACCATTCGGTTTATTTAGTCAAAATGAATTAAATGATACCTATGGATCGGACCATTAAACATTAAGATATTCCATTTGCAAATTGATCAATTTTTTTGCAAACAAATCATTAAGACATCATAGGTCAATGATAATTATTCTAGCTGATTGATGATTAATTACCAATGTAGTAAAAGGTACTATCTTTCCAAGAAAAATTAATCAGCAATATAAAAGGCTGCATTTTGGTTTTATTATATTATCAGGATTAGAAGTAATGTATTTTAAAATAAAAAAATTTTTTATTTTAGAAAATATGTTACTTATATATCATCATTCGGACATAGGCGCATTTATTAATCAGAGATCTGAAAGGGCTTTACGGATTCAATAATTAAATTATTCTATTTAGGAACTTTTAAACCTATAATTATCGTGTGTAGGGTTCCACCAATATAAATAATATTATAATATCATGTCTGTCGAACAAATATCTTATAGCAAACAAATGGAGCAAAATTAGCGCAAATGATCGCCGTACATTATTCAACGCACTAGGACAAGCGAAATTCCCTCAATACACAAAATGTGTAATTGACATCCTCAGCATAAATCGCGCACTTTTATCAGCTCGAAGATTTGTAAACTACGTGTATATAAGAAGGTGGTGTCTTTCTCAGTAATCTCAACAAAAATCTTTTCTTACAAAGTATAGGAAATAGGCTTTTTAAACAAATCTTCGGAAAACTAAATCCTCAAAAATTTCTCAACCTTTTCTTACTTCCCTCATAAAGATGGATAACAACAACGGATGCCATTGTGGAAATAACAGTCAATGCGGAGCAACTGCTACTACTGCTTGTACCTGTAATGTAAAGAATGTGAGAGAAACAACAGCTCAGTATGTGTATTTATTTTTTTTATTTAAAACACTTATTAATTATTCAAATCAGCATTCATTTACATATGTACATAACTCTATCTCATCCAGTTGCAATTGTAATGACGAACATACTTGTACTTGTGAAGGACATACTTGTACTTGTCATTGCGGTGACGAATGTAAATGCACCGCTGACGGAAACGAATGCAAATGCAGATGCGAGTCACATTAATTATTTGATTGCTTATATAACAATAAATACATATATATCTTTTATAGCATTTAACATTTTTATGTAGCATAGCAAAATAATCATTAGCGTAGTAACTTACAATAATAAAAACCATGATTTTATAAATTCACGAAAAATCTAGTATATAATCATTAGTTTCTCTCCTATTTTTAGTTTCTTTCGCAGTAAAATTAAAGAGAATTTTACTCCTCATATATATTTTATTTTTAATATACGCGTCGAGCCACAACTCAAAAAGTCCTGATATGTGTCAATATTAAAAAATGGCACACCCAAATTAATAAGTTTGTTGTTGGATGATAAAAGACAATTTATTTATTATTTAGTACTCAGTTTATTATTTTATTTGTAAGGAATTATCTTAAGGCTATCTAAAAATTATTTCAGAATCGAAATTTCATATAACAACGGACATATCTAGTAATCACATAACGATTGGAATTCATGTCACGCTAAAATTGAGACAAACACATTTATTATAGAGATGTATGATAATCACATTTTCCTATAGAAAAATCAAAGTGCATTACGCTTAAAGACAACACTTTTTATTAATAAAATTTAATTACAAAACTTTCATCTATTAGAAACTGAAAATTTTTTAATAATAATATCCCGATTACGTTTATTACGATTACACAAACACAATGTGCAGTAAATATTACCAGCACACGACATTCTATACTGTTAATATGTCTTTATCGGATTCATGTTCAAATTCAGCTACTATTGGTGATTCAGACATGGAATATGTTTCAGAAAGCAAGTTAACATTAATAAATGAGGCGTTTAAATTTCATTTTCTAAAATTAAAGATATAGCAATACTTAAAGAAGAGTTTGACTTGTTGATTTTGGTACAATAATTTCAGATATCGTAGCAGCTGAAACACAATTAATTCCTTGCATTATAATAGATAGCTTATGTGGAGAAATAAAACATTATAATGACAATATTGTTAGAAGATTAGAACAATTATTTGGAATCTGGGAAATTGATAAAGCGACATTTATAGCAAAAAAATTCTCAAAAGAGCTTTGGACATTGGATGTAGCAAACACTTTATTAATATAGATCAAAATTATTTACATAACTAAGTTATAAAGAAAACATGATCAATAATTAAAAGCACTATTTATAGCCATTATCTTTTTGTAATAAAAACAAGAGTTTTTCCTGGAACTCAAATCGTTATGAACATTTATGGAATATTTGTGAGTGAAATATTCAATTTCTAAGGATTACTTTTTGAATTTGTAATCCATTTAATATTCGATCTCAAATTACTTTTATATTACAAACAAATAATCAAGCTTATTGTATTTGTATGGATTGTTTTTAAAAAAACTTGCATTAGTCAAAGAAAACTGAAAGAGATTATGTACTAATATCATATGAAAATATAACAATGATACATTATGTAAACAAAAAATGAGAAATATCTCTTAGATATAAATATTCAGTCATATCTTATGTGAACTGGAAAGTTTGATAAAGATATTACTAAAAATAAATTTAATATTAGATCTTTAATTATGAAAACTCAGAATTAAAACAAATTTGAATATTTTAAAGACTTCAACTCTTTTAATGAATATATTTCTTGTTTATTAAATTTTTCATTAGTATATTTACAATTATTGAAAAGAAAAAAAATATAATTCTACAAAGAAAACAAAACAATATGAATATTAATTTAAATCTTTTGAAATTTCAAAGATAATAGCTTTTTCTATATTATTTATTCTTAATATTATTAATATTTATTTTTCATAAATGAAAAATTTGATATATTATTATAATTTCACTTTTTAAAAAGTTCAAACTTTTATTATTATTACAAGTAATTTTAAGAATAGTTTATATTATATCACATTTATAATATTATAAATAATATCTTGAAAAATCATAAATATAAGTAATATATTTAGAATAAAGATTAATTTAAAGAATAAATTATATAAAATCTTATAATAATTTTCAAAAAAAAACTATTCAAATTACTTAAGAATTGATAATATTTTTAATATAATAAAAAATTTATTTATTATACTAAGATATTTTAATTTAAACTTTTAATTATTATATAAAGCTCAAAAGAAATAATAGCAAAAAAAGATTTATTTATATTTTCTTTTTATAAATAAATAATTAATAATATTTTTTATAAACTTCTTAATTTAGTTATTAAATTTAATTTATAAATTTTATTTTATATTTTAAAAATAAGTAACCTTTATATTATTATTCTAAAGATAAAAATTAAAGGTTATTTAAATTCAGATAATTCTAATATCTTATTAAATAACTTGATTACTCTTTTTGTAATATAATATGAAAATCTCTTGAGAACTTAAAAAATATTATGAAGAAAATTAATATCTTTAAGAAATTATATACTTGAATATAATAAGAATATTATACTTTAAGTAGAGAGATATATAATAATTTTGATTAGATTATCTTTTTTAAGTTTAGATTTTTATTTTGTATTATTTGTATAATAGATTAGCTTTTATATCACTTTTTATAAAGATTAATTTTATTTTAAATACATAAATAATTATTCATATATTTAATATATTAAATTTAATATATTATTATACAAATAATTATTATATATATCTATATTATTAATTTAGATAATTAATATTTTTAATTAAATTTCTTTTTAATTTTCTTTTATAATTTTATTTATTCTCTCTTTATTATTATTTATATTATTATTAATTATTAAATTATGATTAGTTATTCTTTAGAAATATAAATTAAGTTAATTAATTTTATTAAACTATATATATTTTAAAATAGAATTTATTATTACTTTATTATTAATTTATTTACTTTTCATATTTATTTCTTTTATTATAAATAATTATTATCTATTCTGTAATTTAATTTCAAATCTAAATACTCTTCAAATAATAAAATTATAAATTTATAAATTAAAACTATTTATATTATATTTTATCTTATTTATAATTATTAATAAAATAATCTTACATCTAAAAAATATAAATAGTAAATATTCTTTACTTAAAATAATTCAAGTATATTTTATTTTAATTTATAAAATTCTTATAAGCTTTCTTATATATAAAAGCTTTATTTATTTTAATATATATTTTTTATTTATCTAATAATTAAAAAGATACTATTAGAAAATTTAGATAATATATTAAATCTATAGTTTTAATTTAATTATTTTAATTATAAATATCTTTTTCTTGTTATATTTTTATAATTATAACTTTTTTTATTTATTTTTATTTTTATCTTATAATAATATAATACTTATAAGTATTAGTACTAAAAAAACTTTTAAAATAATTATAATTTCTTTATCTTTATAAATAATTCAGTTTTAGTTCTCAAAACTTATTATAAGCTATATTTTAGTAAAATTTATCTTTATAAATATAATTTATAATAATATCTTGATTTATAATAAAATAAAAAAAAATATATTTAATATTTTTAGATAGTATTAATATATTTTTGCAAGTATAAATTATATACTAAGTAAAAAAAAATAATATTATTTAATAATATATAGAATATCTTGAATATTTTATTTTAATAAATAATAATTTAGTTAATTAAAGAAAAATTATTATTATTAAAGATTAGTTTATACTAATAAATATATTAGAATTCTACTTTTTTCTAGAATTAACAAGTTATTATAAAAAGTTTATAAAAGAATTCTTAGTTATAATTAAAAATATTATCTTAATTAATTATAATTTGTAATAGCTAATCAAAGAATTATAATTAATTCTGATAACTAATCAAAGAATTACAATTAAGTTATAATATTATCTTTAGTTATAGTATTATCACTTATAATATTCTTATATAAAGACAAGAAATATTAATAATTTATACAAGTATAATAAGTTTTTAAAAGTTTTAAATAATATTTTATATTAAGTTAATCTTATTACTATCTAACTCTAATACTAAGTTAAAATTAAAATAAGAATGATTAATTAATAATTTTTATATTAAGAAAGTTATTATTAGTAAAATAAAATTATTTAGTACATGAAAAAAAGTTATTAATTATTATATTATTATCATAGTAATATAAATTTTTTTAATTTCATAATTTTTTGAACTTGAAATTTTCAACTAATCAATAAATTTCTAGAAGATATATGATTTTGAATAATATAATTAGTATATTAGTTATAAATTTAATTATGATTCAATAATATTTTTGTAATCTTTCTGCAATATTTTAGTAATACTTCAAGATCATAAATAAATAATTAGTTTAAAAGTCAATAACAGTTTACAAATAGTTTAATAATAGTTCAAAAATACTTTAAAAATAATTTAGCAATAAATTTAATTTATTTTTATTATTATCTTTTTCTTTTTAGAATATTTATCTTATCTTTTTATT